GACAGAGAAACACACAGTCTCTCCAGGTGCGTTGGTGTTTGTGGTCGACGTGCACTTTAGGAACCAGAGCAGGTTCCATGACTGGGCAGTGACTGCTTATCCTGCAGCGCAGCCGTATGGCCCGAATCAGGTCATCTGAATGGTTGCCATTGAGGAGAGAATCTGAGAAGGCCACGGGGTCGACATGGCCGCGGCTGGCCCAAGTCAGCTGACTCAGGCTCGTGGGACGTGGGTTGCACAGCCACAAATCTGCGGTATAGACGTTTGGGCTTGGGCCGGAGCTCAAGCTCTGAGACTCTCTGTCCTTGCAGGATCCCAAAGCCCGGGTTCCAGTCCAAGCCCAAATGTCTACACTGCAATGCGACAGCTCAGCTGCCTGAGGCCCGCGAGCCTGAATCAGCCGACCCAGGCCGGCCTCGAGTTGTGTATTGCAATGTAGACGTCCCCTTACTTACCCCAGAGTACCACCCCTGAAGACTGGGGGATTAGAGGGGGTTTAGAACCGAAGCAGCTGAGACAAGAATCTGGCCCAAGGAGTCTTTTGCACCCACTTTGCCGGACATAAATGACTAGACCAGGTTACAAGGCAGCAGGGAATCAGCCCCAATGAACCAAGAAGCTAAGGGCGAATGAGAACCCATGCGGGGTCTCGGGACTTGTCATGTGCTCGACACAATGGCGAGAGCAGCAGAGATGGCTTTGGAGTGAGGTGCCAAGTCCCAGAGGAGCAGTGTTAAAGGTATAGACGGGATTAGATTTGTATTGGCCAGTGAGCAAGTTGCTCTCAGCTTATTCAGGCGATGAAACTCTCGGGGCCCAGTCCTACTTCTGTTTCCCCTAGACAGTGCAGGAGCTTGGTTCCCCTGGCCCTTGTAAACTAGCCCTGACGATGCTCTGAAGTGGTTTAAAAAGCTGGGCTGCAGAGCAGAGGCAGGCCATGTCTGCAGTGACTAGGGAAACCATCCTGACGCCTTTGCTAGCAGGGAATCTGTTTACGCACCGTTCCCCTGAAAGGTAAAGCAGACTTTAGCCCCCTGAGTTTAGGGCCAGACATTGTGCTGCAAACAGCTGCTGTGCATGGGGCTGTGGTTAAAACTGGTTAATTGAAAATGTCGAAGTACATCAAGCGACCGAAATGAGTGGAAGCAGTGACCTTCACTCGCTGCAATGTGCTCTGGAAAGAACAGCAGCCGAGCCAGGAACGACACTCCCCAGGAGGCACCAGCTTTTTGACAAGAGCCAAAGCCCAGTTCATAAGCCTGGGTACAGAGGAGCTTCTTGAGAAATTGCTGGCGGAAGGAATAGAAGCGTTGTGAGGAGCTGGTTGGTGTTAGAAGACAGTGTATTTATATCTTATCTTTTGTATTACACTTGTGCTCAGAGGTTCTATGCTAGGCATGGATCAAACCTATAGTGAGAGACAGTCCCTGCCCCAAAGAGCTCACAATCTAAATAGATAAAGGAGGGAAACTGAGGCACGGAGCAGGGCTATGATTTGGGCATGGTCACACAGTTTGTCAATGGCAGAGCCAGGAGTAGAACCCAGGGCTCCAGTCTACTGGCCTGGCCACTAGGTCGTGCTCCTCCCTCTCAGGATAATCATTTCAGCTCCTTTGGGTATCAAATTAGCATTGAATTACATCTTCCTCATAATTATAGGGAAATCTTCAATATGTTTAGGGCAGAACTCGGATGTGCCCTTCTAATTGCCATGCCTTGGTGAAGGCAGCCTCTCTGCATTATAGCCTGGCCTTGAAAGATAGATAACCCATCGCTAGGATGATTTAGTTGGGGATTGGTTCTGCTTTGAGCAGGGGGTTGGACTAGATGACCTCCTGAGGTCCCTTCCAATCGTAATATTCTATGATTCTACTGCATGCTGCCACAAAATTAAAAGCAAACTAGCATTCACCACTTTGGTATGGTGGAACATACCAAAAAACAATGTGTGAGCTCCCCCTGCTGGTTTTACCTGAACAGTGCACTAGTTAACACTGTTTCCGGAGCTGTGAATGCTCTTGTGTTGCTATGGTTAGGGTTGCTGGTGCGTGGACAGCCTAGACCTGATTCTCTTCTCCGTACATTGGTGCAACTCCTGACTTCAGTGAACTTAGACCTGGTTTGCATCAGTATAAGTGAAAGCAAATTCAGACCCAGAGAATTAAACCAAAGGGGATTACCCTGGCTTCAGTTTCACCGCAATCAAATCGAATGTAATGTTTTCCTAGAAAGAGGGATAAAACCAGCAAAAGGGTTTTTTGCACACAGTGGAGAGTCAATACAAATCAGGAGCTATATAGAAAATTATTTGTTGGCAATCCTTTAACTAATGCATTGCTGCATAAGTGGGCATATCAGCCTGAGTGACATGGAGCTCTGGACAGTTTTCAGTGTGGTAGGTAATTATGTATAGGTGGTTAAATTATACCTGAGAAACACAAGATCTCACTGATTGGCCTGAAAGAGTAATTGCACAGTCACATTGAGTGCAGAAGATTAGAGCGTGCTTCATTTCACCTTACGGTATCTGAGCAATGAGGATGGTTGCGTGATACATTTCACTTGTCATCAGATGAAGCTACCTTGCCAATAGTACTGTCTATCCAAATACCTGGCTGGTGAATCACAGGTACATAGATACTGTGGTGTAACTACTGTAGCGATGAATGCAAAACTGTGACCTCGGGATTTCTCCAGTTCCATTTACTGCAGGCTTTTCAAATGGTTTGTTGCTGCATATGCTGATGGAACATCCCATCAAAGCCCTGGCTGGGATGATTTAGTTGGGATTGGTCCTGCTTTGAGCAGGGGGTTGGACTAGATGACCTCCTGAGGTCTCTTCCTAATCGTCTATGATTCTATGCTTTATTGTCTGTATGACACATTAAATAAATAGGATCTACTGAATCGGTTAGCTTGATTGAGGCCTAAAGGAGAACTTTACAGAGCTTTGAGCTCGTTTTTTTAAAAAGTCTTAGACTTGCCATTGGCACATTCAGCCAACAGGATAAAATTACTCTCACTGATCTGTGCTACAGATCTTTTATCCTTAGTGAAAAATCTCTATTGCGTATTCTGTGCATAAAACTTCCATTGACATCAGTTGAAGTTCTGTATGCTGAATAAGTGCAGAATATTCAGCAAAAATCCATCATGGCAGGTAAGAGATTGGCAGTAAAGGTTAGAGGGGAGAATTTTGCCCTGAAGTGCTAGCAAGCAGTAAGCACTGTACAATGTAATATATTACATTATATCAGTCACTAAAGCCATCTTCCAGAACTCACTATCAGGAGACCCAAGTGCCAGAGCTGAGAAAGATTGACTCATTCCAGTGACTCACAGTGAAAAAGCACCATAGGCTGTGGGGAAGGGTCAAAGATGGGCCTGTTAATGTTCCAGTTACTAGGACTCAACACAGTGATGATCTGTGATTCCTGCCGGTATAGACGTCTGGTATAAATTGCTGCTCTTTTTCTGGGCAGATCAGGGTCAGTGCACCCCTTTGTATTCCACCACCAGGGTCATGCAACACTTCCATTTCTAGGAATCCCCTACAATTGAACTGATGCATCTTCATTGAGAACATGGTCTGGAGAGCCACAGGGAAAGTTACATAAAGAAGTAGTGATTTTACAGGGACTGTAAAGAGAGATGTAGTGATTGTATCTGTGGCGTGCTAGGCGTTCTTGCAGATGGATTCTTGCTGGTCATTTGTAGGTAGCACTAAGTAATTCACCTTGACCTGTCCTCCAGATCTATGGATTAAGTTGCATGTGTTTCCACGGTTCTCATTACCCAGTGACACCAGTGATTGCATCCTGCAAACGTAGGGCCTGCTCTGATGTGCCCTGTGCTGCGGACTCAGCACTCAGCACCCTGCAGGACTGAACAGTTGATTATTCGTTGATCAAAAAATATAAACTGCAGCATTATCAGCTGCTAGCTGTAGTACCACCTAGTTCTTATCTAGCACTTCCCACCTGTCGCTCTCAAAGCAGAGGGAGAGCTGAGCTGAGCTGTGCAGAGGTGGAAAGAGTTGATGGAGAAAGACGTCGCCCCTGGAATAAAGGAAGGCGGCATCTGAGGACCCTATTTTTACTGACAGCACTGGCATTCGGGAAGAAGTTACTTTCACTACAGCCCACCACTAAGGGAAGGAGGCCGTGTAGCCTTGTAAGTAAATAGCGCACTGGACTGGGATTTAGGAGACCTTGGATCTAGGCCTAGCTCTGTTCCTGGATGCCCTTGGGCAAGCCACTTCACCAATCTGTGCCTCAGTTTACCGGTCTGTAAAATGGGGATTGTGATACTGACCTCTTTTGAAAAGCACTTTGAGATCTGCTGATGAAACGTGCTAGATAAGGACCAGGTGTTATTACTGCTAATAATAATCGATAATGTTGACGTTTATATGGGTTTAGTTTAAAAATACAGGGCCGGATCCTCAGCTGATAAACTGGCACGTCTTCCTTGGAGACAGAGTCACTCCACTGATCGGCACCCGCTGAGGATGACAGGAATTAGGTAGCCCCCTTTTAGAATAATTTGGAAACCCTCTAGTGGGTCTCCCTGTCTTCTGCTGCAGAAGCCACTAGAACCCAACCAGCTGTGTCTATCTGTAGCTGGGCCACGTGTGTTGTGTATAGCGAGTAAACGGTTATTTGGAACTCAGCTGTTTCTGTGTTGCTTCCTCGTATTAATGGTGTGCAGAGAGCAGAGCTACATCTAACCCACTAGTTTGAATAATGAATCCAATGCCAGTTGTGTGCTCTTCATGGATTCAGGGCTCTGGAGTCCAATTATTTAACTCCTGTCTTTGATGTTCTCTTTAGTCTTTTGCTCCCATCCTTTGACAGATTTCTTCAGTCTCATCCTCTCATGGTCTGATCCTGTTCCCAATGGCAAAGCCCCTGTTAACTTTTGGGGGGCAGGCGCATTCCCTTCAACCCTCATTGCTTCCACTTGCACTTGGAAACTCTCTTCTCCTCGTCTCGTTGCAGGTGGTACGAGACCAGATCTCTCACTGCACAGTCAAGCTGCGCCAGACCACAGGCCTGATGGAGTACTGTCTGGAGGTCATCAAAGAGAATGACCCAAGTGGGTTTTTACAGGTGGGTGTGTGGCTGTTCACTTCCACGTGCCGTTGGAAGGAAGAGCTGGGCTGGCTGGGAGAGCGAGCGAATGCAGATCCAGAGGCCACATTCATCCCTGGTGGAACTGGGGTGAGGTCAGTGGAGCTACACCACGGAGGTGTACGGCCCCAGGTTGATTGGTCCATATTCATTGTCATTAGAAGAATGTGCCGATCCCATCAGGAATATTTAGGTACTAGATAATACTTTGTCCTGCCTTAGGTGCAGGGGACTGGACTAGGTGACCTCTCAAGGTCCCTTCCAGTTCTGTGATTCTATGATATATGTGTGTGCGTGAGTGTATATATATAAGGTCTAAAAATACTTTGTAAAGGATTATTAAAGCTCTACATCACCCCCATCCCCTTACTGCCACCAGCATAGGAGGCATGTCAGGGGCCTGGCCAAGGAGAGGAGACATGGCCAGCAGCAGTGTGCTTCTGCTTTCTAGTGTAACAGACCCCACTGTTACCAGCTAGGGTAAGGTTGCTCTCCCTTGCACCACGGGCTGATGCAATCCCAGTGCTTTGTGGGGTGCGGAAGAGGGCTCCAAGGTGTCATACTGATTGGGCCCAGTATAGTCATCTAGGCTAGGGAGATTTTCTTCCCGCCATTTTCAGTCTAGAACAGTAACAATGTTAAGAAGATTCCTTAGTAATTTGGGGCCCTGTCCTGTTCCACTGGAACTCAGCAGCTAAACTCCCATCACCTGTAGCATGAGGAGGATCAGACCCTGTATTAGCTGTGTATTTCTAGAGATATTACTTGTCAATGAAGACCGAATAAGGGAGACACATCTCTGTGCTCTAAGAGTGTGTACTGCTGGCTGGTCACGAGAAACGCAGCGGCACTAGCTATGAGACAGGTCCTGATACCCTTAACCCACGTGAGTAGCACCTTTCTCTGCATGATTTCAATGGCACTGTGCAAAATTACTACTCATTGTGAGCAAGGACATCAGAAACTGGCCCTCTGTACGGAGAAAAAATCTTACGTGGATGTCAGAGACTGAAACAGGCTGGCGAAGGCTGTGTGTAAGGTCGGAAGCAAAACAGGAATGAATTCGTCCTGTGAGAACACTGGCTTACACAGACATTGGGAGAAAAGTTTGGAGGAAGATTCTTATTGTATCTCTAGAATAAATATTACAATACGCAGCCCTCAATGGGAGACAGACTCCATACATGGCTCACAAGAACAATAATAGTTCATAAGAATCAGCTCCAGCTCCCACTGCAGCCAGTGAAAGCCCTTGCATTGACGTCTCTGGGCATTGGGTCACCCCCATAAGATGGCATTGACTCATTTGGCCTAACTAAGATGTTCGGTAGCTCCAGATACATGATTTGGTTCTGATTGAAGTGATTTACAAATCTGAACCTAAAATGAACGGTCCCGGTAGAGCCCTTGGGTGACACCCTGGCCGCATTGAAGTCAACGGCAAAACTCAAGTCACCGTGAAACTTTAGTGATGTCCAAACTCAACGTGGGCCAAGCCTTTGATTTCAAGCCCTGTTGACTTTTACCGTCATAAAGAACCAGCTCTTTCTAGGGCACAAAGCACTTGCTCGAGTGGCGTGTAATAGCTGAGGGTGTGGTCTTTGTTGCCACCAGATTTCCGATGCTCTGATCAGGAGAGTGCACTTGACCGAGGACCAGTGGGGAAAAGGGACGCTGACCCCAAGGATGACCACAGACTTTGATTTGAACCTGGACAGTGCGCCTTTGCTGCAATCCATCCATCAGCTCGACTTTGTGCAGATGAAAGGTAAGAACCTATCTTCAGTCCATTTAGCAAATAACACTCACCTGTCATTGGCTTGTGCTCAACACAGTCTCTGGGTTTAATGACAAGTCACCGGATGTACAGGGGCAACACATTGGAGCTAATTTTATCTACTACGGACTTTGTTTTTTAAGATATTTGTTCCCTTACAAATAAAAATTAAGAAGGTAGGGTTTAAAACCTCAGAGAAGGTCCTGTGGTTAAGCAACTGTACTGAGCTGGAGTTCCAGATTCAATACTCAGCTCTGCCACAGACTCCCTCCAGGGCCTTGGTTAAGTCACTCCATCGCGCTGGGCCTCAGTTTCCCAGCTGTGAAGTAGGGGTAGTAACCCTTCCTTTCTGCCACCCTTTGTGTCTAGAGGATAAGTTTCTGGAGGCAAGGACTGTCTCTTCCTCAGTGCCATGTACAAACAGTTGACAATGGCAGGGCCACCCGTGTTTCGCAGGAGGGGCTCAGCACTGGGATCTGATGTAATACCGTCCCTCCAAAAAGGCCAGTGCACGTCACAAGTAGTAATCGCTTTCGCCTCACAACACCCATGGATATCAGGGTTACTAAGCCACGGCACAAAGAGGCTGAATGACTCGTGTGAGATCACTCAGGAAGTCAGAACGAGCCGTGGTTTTCTTGTTTTCTTTGCCTCCTGGCTCAGTTTTGTCTTAACCACGGGAACATCCAGCTGTCCCTGCATCTCTGGCTCCCCAGGGTGTACTCTTCGAAATGAGAGTCAGGGACAGCACGGCTGCACCTAGCCATGCTTTGGAAATAGTCCCGAACCCATGATGCTGAGGCCGCCTGCTCCCCAATTGTGCAGATCTCGAAGGAGAAGAGGTTTTTCACACTTGAGCCAAATCCTGCTGGACTGATTGATGCACACTGTCCCTTTGGCTTTGGTGGGAATTCTCACGTGTTTTGAAGCAGTATAAAGAAATGCCTACATCCCTACACACATGCCCACAGCTCACACACACGCTGCTGAACGGTGGTTTGCATTGCCTAGATAACGGGCTGTCTGTCTCCAGTTTGAATGTCTTGACTGAAAGCACAGCTTTCAAACCAGAATGCAAATTTGCCTGAGCCCGAGAGCATTATCATCTTAGACATGCCAGAAACATTCTGCATGCTACATTATAGCAAAGAACCTCAACATCCAGATCATTTGGCTTTTTCCTTGGGGTTTTTTTCATTTGTTTTTGGTTTTTGGGGGTGGGGGTGTTTTGTTTTGTTATTTGTTTTTTTAAGCACTTCATCTTAATTTTAATTTCCTCCTGATTCTATTCTCTCCTCGTGGGCAACTGGTTCTGCTGTGGTCTACCCCTGCGAAGTCTCATTAATTCACAGAGCGCAGAGATCCGGCACAACCGGTGAGCAATTTCTGACTTGTGAAGTCCCTGGCAATTGAAAGAAGATGCTAATTGGCTGTGACACGGCAAACTGTGATTGGGTGGAGCCAAGCTTACACCTATTGTCTGCTTTGGCATACGTTCAACAAAGGGCCAGCTCTCATCTGGTGTCCATTGGTGTAGCTGTATGGACTTCAAGGTCACCAGCTCAGGGTCTGGCCCTGTGTATTCATTGTTGTCTCTACTGGATGTTCTGATGTGCAATTAGTTGATACATGACAAACACCTTGACAATTAGGCACAAAAAGCTCGTAACCACGTGCTCCCTCTGCAGTGGTAACGATTTGGAACAATGGCCCCATCGTTATTAATTCACTGAATGTGTTTCACGTAATAGCATTAATCGTGATGGACGCATCTGGCAGGGCTGTCAAAAGCACACCCATGACTCACCATGAGTTAACGGGACCATTGTTTTAAAGCAACGGCAATATTTTTAATAGAGTAGTGAAGACTGAAACTCAGGTCAAACTCAGTCAGGGCTGAACTGTCTCTGCAGCTTGCACACAAATTGTGTAGGCAGTGGGAAGTCTCCTTCCTCCCTTGTTTTAATAATTTAGCCTAAGGGTATGTTTTTAATTAGTAAAAGCAAGTCTGCTGCTGGCTTAGCTGTCTTTCCCTTTGCATTAAGATCACACGGAATTCACCGGAATCACGTAACTGGGCAACCACACAACGAATACCATTTCCAGACATGGGCCAGGAACGCCATAGGCCTGAGCAATAGGTGCTGCGCAAACTGCACCAACCTATGGGGAGGCCCTGGGTCTCAGAGGTTCCCCTCAGAGCTACAATCCCGCTGCTGCCCCCTCTTGCGCTGGGCAGGAGTAAATTGCTTCAGTCTTTAAAAGCATGCGGCATGCTCCAGCTCGGCTGGCTGGCATGGGGGAGTGAGGGGTACAGCTCTGCCCCTCCCTGAGTGCTAGCTCAGGGGACAAGCAGCGGGTGGGCACCTGCTGCCCTCTCCCCACTACTTACTCGGTTTGGAGGGGCAGGGCCTTATTCTTCTCCCTTTGCAGCCGTGTTGGAGGTAGCCCCGAACGGCCATATTCTGGAGCTCTGATATTGGATGTGAGATGACTGAGCCCCTCCCCTTCCTTTCGGAGCTAAGTAATCATGGAAGGAAATGGCGGCTCATGCTGGGACCGTACCTAGCATGCTCGGCGAGGGAGGGACAGGCCGAGAAAGGGCCCGAAAGGAATGAGGCGAGTGAGTGGGAGTGCGCTTCGTCCCTGGAGAATACAGCAGAGTCTCCTGTATAGACAAGCTATTGGGAGGGTGGAATACATTACCTAGTGCTCAGCCTGCCACGTAGAAAGACCCCACCCCCTGTGGGCACATAGGATATGGACGTAAACAGGCTGGTTTCCAACCTGCTGCTGCTGATGCCGCCTTAACGGCTGGCGTATATGCTCCTCCACATAGCCTGCCGCCAGCGCAGTTGCACCCTCTGCGGCGGTGGGACCAGGGGCGCATTGCCCACCAGGGAGAGGAAGCACCATTTCAGTTCTTCAGAACACAAAACTCCTGAGGCTAACCCCAGGGAGCAGCTCCTGCCCTAAGGCACCGATGTGGGAGAAGGTCCTGCGCTGAGATACTGGGTAAAGGGGGAACAGATCGGAATTGAGGAATGGAAGGGAACAAGCCAGGCATTGGAGCCATAGGGAACAAACTGCTGGGGAAGGACGACGTCTCACTGCTGCTGGAGAAAAGCCTGTTCGCAAAGCGCACCGGAGAAGCCATCCGAGACAAATAGTGATAACCCCGGGGAGGCTGCCACAGACATTAGCCACATGGCTTAATGTCTCCCAGGTATGGTACCTGGCTTGTGATCTGGCCTCTTGGTGCTGCTCCTGTGGTGCTAGGGGGCCATTAACAGGGCAGCTGCGGATTCCTCCAGCGTATTTGAATCCCAGCATCTGGCTTCTCTTTTCCCTTTCTTGTTAGTTCCGTTTCCTCCTCCGGCGTTCATACCTTTTCCTTTGCACACCGTCCCTACCACCTGCCGCCTCCCATTCACCTCCCCTTTGTGCCTTTCCTGTTCCGGTCTTTTAGGACTGAGAAGGCGAGACAATCTGGGGAAGCCGTGAAGCAGACAGACCCCACCAGAAAGGCCGCCAAGTTGCTGCTTTGCTGGGATGCGCCTTTAAATGGTGCCAGCTGCAGCACAGCTGCCAGCCTGTGGCTTTGGGGATCTTGTGAGATGGGGAAACACAGAGCTGCGCATTTGTTGGTGTGTCAGAAGCTGGAGATCTGGTCTGCCACTAGGCTGTTGGAGAACGAGAGTCGTTCTGCTATTGAGGGACTTCAGCCACCCGGGCCCTGTGGGCCCAGTTTAGACAAAATTTGCCAAGAATCTGTAAAACCCCTGGCACCAGGATTGCCCCAAATGCAAAGCCTCCCTTCACCCTCAGCGGAGCAGGCAATCCCCACTCCCGGTGCTGGAATAGCCGCAGTTTACATGTTCAGGTGTCTGACGTACCCACTGACTTATGCCGAATAAGACACTTAGCAGTTGTCCCTCCTTAAAACCTGCCTGTGCTGTGACGCCTACACATCACTCCCATCTGGCACTAATTCAGCAGGTGACCCGCTGTGACTTCTGCCCAAAAAGTTCTGATGCAGCCGAGCTGTACCTGTGGAATCATTAAAAGTAATTCCTTCTCCTCTCCCCCTGGCAGACTGGCTTGTAATACATATCATTGCTCTCCTGTCGTGCAAGTTGGCAAGTGCTATATAGATAGGGAACGGGGCTGGACTATGTTCAAGCACTGGAATGCGTTACCTAGGGAGGTGGTGGAGTCTCCTTCCTTGGAGGTTTTTAAGGCCCGGCTTGACAAAGCCCTGGCTGGGATGATTTAGTTGGGAATTGGTCCTGCTTTGAGCAGGGGGTTGGACTAGATGACCTCCTGAGGTCCCTTCCAACCCTGATATTCTATGATTCTATGATTCTAAGTTTGGACTAAGGGAATGTGTGGGGTGTTTCCCCTATGGTAGAGAAAAGGTGGTAGTAAATGTTTCAGTAGAGAGGTTAAGTATCACGGTGGGGTCAGCTATGTGTTAGGAGAAGAGGGTCCCCTTTCCCTGTGGGGTCTCACCCCACATCTTTTGTAGAGCAGGAACAGACCCTCCTTCCTTTTACTTGTTTATTGCAGATGAGCTGATGCTCCTGCTGGAGCAGAACATACCATGAAATGCCTTTTTGTCTTGGGCAGGAGCACACAAGGAGGTTTGGCTATGGGCTATTTGGCCTTTCTCCTCTCCGTCGCTGGTTCTAACCCAACAAAGACTGGAGATGGAAAGTAGTTACCGGCTGATCCCTGTTTGGCGGCCGCCGTGAAATGAATTTGTTGCTGTGGTTTCAGTACACTTCCTAATGGACATGGGCACCGACAAAACCCACCCCTACAACTGACTCTGGCAATTTGCTTGAGTGAGTCAGCAAAGAAGGCCAGCCATGAATGCCCCCGGGGTACGTCTACACTGGAATAACAGACCCGCCGCACAGCCGCGGCTGGCCTGGGTCAGCTGACTCAGGCTGTGGGGCTGTAAAACTGCAGTGTAGATGTTTGGATTCAGGCTGGAGGCCAGGCTCTGGGACCTTCCCCCTTGCAGGGTCCTAGAGCTCGTGCTACAGCCCAAGCCCGAACATCTACACGGCAATTTTACAGCCAAAGCCCTGTGTGCTCGAGTCGGCTGACCTGGGCCACCTGTGGGTGTTTAGCTGCTGTGTAGACGTATCCATGGAGTCCACACTATGCTCCCCTCTGGAATGGTAACTGTGGGTTGGCTGAGGTACAGTGGCAAGACTTTGTGGTGAGGATCGTTGGCCAACGTTGGTCGACAGCGATGTCCACCCAGAACATTTACTTGCACTAAATTAGCACAATTGAAAACATATTTATCTCTTGTTATATGTGGCTCACCGCACCCATCACAGTGACACCCTCCCCCCCCCCCCAAATTACTGCTCCTTCATGACCCACCGTGAGGAAGATCAGGTGCACTTCCAGCCACAAGTCATCGCAAAGGCCGTGAGCCCAACTCACCACTCCGCTATTCTATCGATACTGCTGTAACTCTTTTGATTGCAATGAACTTGCATGGCGGAAACCTGGGGTAACAGAGAGGTGAATTAGACCCACTCTTTCCACTGACGCTACAACCAGTGGCAGTGTTCTCATCCGGGAATGATAATGCCTGTCCCTCTGCAGCCAGACTCTCAGAGTACATCGGGGAGGTGCTCCTATGACCTTCCTGGTCTTTGGTTATGGCGTTGTGATGAGTGGATTAGGCATGGGAGCCTTACTCTCATAGGTGGGGGCATGGTGCTATAATTTCACGCTCATCCAAAATTTATTAGAAAGAAAATGTAAGAGAAAATGAAGTAGCCCCAGTAAAATTTCACGTTGACAAGCCGATGAAAACCCAAATTCTGCAAAGCTTCTGATGGTAGGTACGTTGAGAAAACAGTCCCTTCTTGTTCCTCCATGCCGCAGTCCCATGAGATTTTACTTTTAATCCAGCGTGAAATGCAGGCTGGGTAACAAAGTTATAAACATGGCCTCCATATAGCGGCGAAAATGTGCATGCGTTTACGTGCCTCACAGCAATTTGAATGCACTTGCTATGCCTGATGTCCACTGTGGTCGTAGAAGCCAGGGTTACACTAATTTTTGTTTAGCTTCCTCTCCAGTGCCGGCACCCCCGATCCTACAGCTAGAAGAATGTTGCACCCACAACAACAGCGCTACGTTGTCCTGGAAACAGCCCCCTTTGTCGACCGTGCAGGTGGAAGGCTATATTCTAGAGCTGGATGATGGGAACGGTGGTCAGTTCAGGGTAGGTATTGAGAGCACGTGTTCCATTGATAAAACATGCCTTAGGTGGAAGACAATGCCAGTGATGAGTGAGCCACACCAGGAGCATTGCCGATAAACAGGAAGCAGGCTTCCATTCTGCGGAGATACAGCCTGCCACTGCCTTATAGAATCATAGAACTCTTCAGCCTCGTGCACTGTTTTCACTCAGGTTACACAGATGTAAACGATTCCACGAGGCGCAAGACAGTGGGCAATCAGGCCGGTTTTGTCTTGTTTTTAGAAGAGTTCATTTGTTGTTTATTTCTATATAGCAGGGGTAGGCAACCTAGGGCACGCATGTCAAAGGTGGCACACGAGCTGATTTTCAGTGGCACTCACACTGCCCGGGTCCTGGCCACCGGTCCGGGGGGCTCTGCGTTTTAATTTAATTTTAAATGAAGCTTCTTAAACATTTTAAAAACTTGATTTACTTTCCATACATATATATTATAGACTTATAGAAAGAGACCTTCTAAAAACGTTAAAATGTATTACTGGCAGGCGAAACTAGATTGGATTAGAGTGAATAAATGAAGACTCGGCACATCACTTCTGAAAGGTTGCCGACCCCTGCTATACCGTATAAGCTTCCCCCGGATTTGAACTGAATCTTTCACTTTTTGTCAACAGCTTCAGTCCAGTTTTTATTCCAATGAATATTCTTATTGTGATGGACTTGATGCGGGAATCGCTGGCTGATAGTCTGTGGCCTGTGTGACCCAGGAGATCAGACCAGATAGCCAGAATGGTCCTTTCTGGCCTTAAAAGTCTGTGAATCTGGGGATTGACAACACAGCTGCTAACCTGGCATGGGGAAATGGTCTCACAACAATCGACTGTAGACACCAGTTCAGAGATTGTTGAAACTATGAGCCAAAGAGTGCTTGCCATGATGGAAGACACCGTACAGTTGCTCTGTAGCAGTGGCTGGGGATAGATTATTACACAGGGCCTACCAATTATACATGAGAGCCACTCCTGCAGAGATACAGTGGTGATAGCAGGACCCTGCAGGGAAATGGCTTCCCCTGGTAACTTTCATTGTTAGGCGGTTAAGTTGTTGGAGTCTCTAGCCATAACTGCATCCATCAGGTTCCCTCTTGGAGAAACTCTCTCTCTCTCTCTCCACTTTTCATTTCAGACATTGTATCTAATTCTCTCCTTCCCTTGGAAGGATCCCTCCTGTGGCTGAACAATTTAAGTTACACAGGGGGCTAGGTGACCAATAGCCAGTCGTGGGATCAGGGGAGCACGGAGGTGGCTGAACCTAAAGACTGGCCTCCAATTTTTTTTAATAAATTTGTATTCCTGCCTTCTTTATCTATACGAAAAAATTTCCAAACTCCAAGTGGACTTTTCCCTTGTTTTCAAATCCACTTCCAAATGCACTTGCACGGCAAATACTCACAAAATCCCGCCCCTGGTTATGCTGATCAGTCTGACTCCCTTGCCTCTGAAGAAGTGGGTTTTTTACCCACGAAAACTTATGCCCAAATAACTCTGTTAGTCTTTAAGGTGCCACGGGACTCCTTGTTTTTTTTGTGTGGATACAGACTAACACGGCTACCCTCTGATAGTCTGACTCCCTTTATTTCCCATTGTTGTCGAGCGCAGAATTTGGCCCCAGGTGCGCGTGCAGTTTGTTTACTGGGGGCAGACAGGAGAGTGGACGTTCACTTGAGGCTGAAGGCTGCAGCTGCTACTCATGTAATGGCTGCAGAATCAGGTGATGCTTATGCCTAGGCCTTATAATGAGTGATTGAGACCTGCTCCAAACTCTTCATCCTTTCTTCCTGCTAACTTCAAATCATGGTATTTGGGAGGTCAACTGAGCTGAGGCTGCAGGTTAGAGCATTTTTTTATTGTTAGATAATATTTGCCTTGATGATCAGCACGCTTTGGAAATGGAAAGAACTCATTTTAAAGCACTTTTTTAATAGCTTAAAGTAGGCTGCCAAACATCTCTTGCAAAGGCTGCTAATTCCCATGGAGGATTGCGGTTTGCTATACTCCTGGCAATCAGAGGCGTTTAAGGCTTGGGGACCTTTAAATTGTTGTAATTATACAATTAAAATGTGATTTTTCTCTGATCTGACATGCTCATAATTATTCTCTAGCATATTCATCACCGTTCAGAGCAGCTCACCGTGGAGAGAGCAGCCCACCGTGTTCCCTGAACTCCAGCTGCGCATGACGCAGCCAGGCGAGATCCAGAGCAGAAGCCGGGTAGTTGACAGAGGGGATGTATGGAGTTTAATGAGAGAAAGGTGCAGAGGACTGAGTTTGCAGGAGACAAGTGCATTGTCTCAGCACAGCCCCCTGGCCTGGCCAAGCAGGGAATAAAGCTTTCTAGCTGGGGCCAGGAAGTAAAAGGAAATCACCTTTTGTTTCAGAATCCCACAGATGTATTACTTCTGGAGGAATTCTGCGCCACTGCGTGTGTGCAGAATTCATGTCCCCCACAGATTTCTTTGCTTCCCCGCAGAAAAATGCCTTTCTGACAGGGAAGCAAAGGGAAGCTGCAAGAGCAGTAACGCACCACTCCCTAGCAGTGCAGGTACATTGTTTCAGGCACCTGGAGCAGCTGGCAGAGAGGTAAATCACCGCGGGGCTGGGGACATCCCAGCCAGTGGCTCCTACCCTGAGCTGGGATCAGCTGCTAGTTCTGGCTGGGCTGGAGGCAGGACAGGATGGGACTTCCTCTTCCCCTGCAAGGAGTGGCTGGGGCTGTGTCAGACCCATCCCAAGAAACCTCCCCCAGCTGCAAGAAGCTCAGCATCCTCCCCTGCTTCCTGCCCCCATTGCTCCTCAGCTGTGGGGAGGGAAGGGTCACTGTATGGGGAGATGCTCCCCCATCCACCCAACCCCCATGCATCTGGACCTCCGATACCCAAACACTCCCACCAAGCCTCACCCGGTACATCCAGAACCCCCCTAGCCCTCCATACCTGAACCCCACCCCACTGAACCTCAACCCCTGCAACTGGAGCCCCATTGCACCCGGACCCCCATCCCTGCACCCAGACCACCCCCCACTGAGTTCCCTGCACTCAAACCTCCACCCTGATGCACCACCCTCTGCACCACCCTGAGCCCCCACATCCAGACCCCCACACCACTGACCTCCAACTAGCTGCACCCAGACCCCCACCCCACCCCGCCAAGTCCCACTTCCCCCGCACCCAGATCCCCCCACTGAGACCCCCATACCCAGACCCCCTCCGCTGAGCCCCAACAACCTTCACCTAGAAGCCTCTGCAGAGTCCCATTGCCCCTGCACCTAGAACCCCACCCCCTACGAGCTTCTGTGCATCCAGATCGCCCCACACCTAGACCCTCCTACTGAGCTGCCTGCACCCAGATTGTCCCACACAGAATCCTCTCACCCAACACCTGGACATCCCCACACCGAGCCCCTTCACACTTGGATCCTGCCTGGTTGAGCCTGCCTGCCCCACACCTGGTGCACATGGTGCAGAGGGGCAGGGCCCCAGGCTAAGGGGGTGTCAGGGTCGGGTGCAGCCTCACCGCTGAGTCTGTGTCCTGGGGATGGGCAGACTGCAAGGTGATCTCCCACTTCAATGCAGCCAGTGGCCTGTGCTCCCCACTGCCGTGCTGGAGCCTCTGCATTTATTTATTGACAAATAAAACTTGCAGAATTTTCAAATATTGTGTGCAGAATTGTCAATGTTTTGGCGCAGAATGCCCTCCGGAGTAAATGTATTCACAATGTGACTGGAGGACAATTAAACTCAGCTAGTCAGTGTTCTCTCTAGAGGACTCTCAAAGCCTCAAGACCACCGAGTTTTTCACTTTAGCTGCCTCACTGTCGAAGCCTCCTGTTCCTTGGAGTCAAGCAGGACTGGGCATGGCTGCCTCCGAGTCCCTGCCACTCCAGAATCAGCCACGCCAAGTTCTCTACCTCCTTTCTCCCAGTGCTGAGAGGGCCGCCTGCATAATGCGCCCGTGATCCCAGGAGCCCATGCACCATGCCGGGTCCCAGACTCAGAACACGGCCACATAGCGACCTAATGCTTTAAACCCAGCTCATCTCATCCGATAGGGCTGGAGCTTGCAGGTCCTTGCAAGGGGCTGCACTGCTCCAGCGTGGGTGAAGCCACCCGCAATGATACTCGCCAGGCACGGGCGATAGTACATCCCTCAGGTGGCCGTGCCTTGCTCGCCATTGCAGAAGGCAAGGAAGGATGAAGACTGGATGATCACTAGCCATGATCCCAGTCGTGCTAAGGGGGTGCTTAGCGACATGTCCGCCACTTAGGCCTTTCTCCTCTCGTCAGGCAGGTGTAACTGGGAGCTGTGCTGCAGCGTTCATTGCTGGAGGATCTGGTTTCCCTGAGCGACCTGTCCTGCTCATCCCCCTTTACTTTGTGCTTACGTTGTTGTGCTCCACCTCTAGCTACGCAGGATGGAGCCCCTAGTGTTCCTGGATATGACTCGGCCCGGCTGAGTCCCCTTTGCGCTGCTCAGTAACAGAACAGGTAACGGAAAACGGCTCTAAAGGGGCAGCACACAAGTCCGCTGTTGTAGCGGAATCCTGAGTCGCTTAAAGCCAGCATAGCTGGCTCTGGCCACCCACCCACCTCTCCCTCCACGTAGATAGGTGTCCAGGCTAGGAGAGGGCACGGCCACAGCAAGATGTAGTCTGGTGAGCTAGGGCTGGCAGAAGGGATCATAGAAACGTAGGGCTGGAAGGGTCCTCGAGAAGTCATCAAGTCCAGCCCCCTGCACTGTGGAAGGACCAAGTAGACCTAGATCATCCCTGACAGGGGTTTGTCCAACTTGTTCTTAAAAGTTTTCAGTGATGGGGACTCCATGACCTCCGTTGGAAGCCTGTTCCAGAGCTTAACGGCCCTGACAGAAAGCTTTTCCTAATATCTAACCTAGATCTCCCTTGCTGCAGATTAAGCCCATGACTTCTTGTCCTACCTTCAGGGGACGTGGAGAACAATTGATCCCCATCCTCTTTATAATGGTCAGCATATTGGAAGACTGTTCTCAGGTTCCCCCTCAGTCTTCTTTTCTCAGGACTAAACAGGCCCCGTTTTTTTAACCTTTCCTCACGGGTCAGGTTTTCTAAACCTTTATCATTTTTGTTGCTCTCCTCTGGACTCTCTCCTGTTTGTCCACCTCCTTCCTCAATGGTGGTGCCCAGAATTGGACACAGTACTGCAGCTGGGGCCTCACCAGTGCCCAGCAGAGTGAGACAGTTCCCGCCCGTGTCTTACATACAACCCTCCTGTTAATACACCTCAGAATGATACTAGCCTTTTTTGCAACTGCATCACATCGTTGATTCATATTCAACTTGCGATCCACTATCACCCCCAGATCCTTTCCAGCAGTACGACCCCCTAGCCAGTTGTTCCCCATTTTGTAGTTGTGCATTTGATTTTTCCTTCCTAAGTGAAGTACTTTGCACTTGACTCTATTGAATTCCATCTTGTTGAATTCAGACCAGTTCTCCATTTTGTCAAGGTCATTTTGAATTTTAAACCTGTCCTTCAAAGTGCTTGCAACCCCTCCCAGCTTGGTGTCATCATGAAAGACTGCTCCAGCTGACAGAGATTAGAGCACTCCCGAGGCTGCTCTAACTTGTGCCGGGGGTTCATTTGACCCAGGATAGTGGGAGGCAGAAAGGTTGTTTAGAGTCAGCTTTGCCTCCCCTGTGGCACAGCTGTTTATTAAGTTGTTGGATTTTTCAGATAACAGTGGAGATTATCCAGAAGAAAAGCATCAAGGCCAATCAAATCGCTAAGTGGATTCCAAACCCTGGGGTCACGTCTTCGGAAGCCATTTACTATACAAAATTTAAATCTTATCACATGGTTTATTTGACAAATGACTTGGCAATCTGGACTGTCTCAAGCGATTATTACTCCTGCTCAGAGCAATTCTGGATTTTCAACCACAGTTGCAACGATAAAGAATAATGGGTTTGCCTGAGTCCCTAAAGCTTTGCTCCTGACATGCCCGACAAGATCTGTTGTGTTATCCACTTGTGCTCGGAGCTGCAACTGCTATTTCTCCTCACGCCAGCATCTCAGCCATTGCCATGTATGCAGAAGTGCAGATCAATGGATAGCCAAGCACTCTGTCTGTGAGGCATGGCAGAGTCTGCCAAAAACTGATCTGACCTGTTTATGTGCTGCAGCGAATAATATTTTGCTTTCCTCTCTGGGGGTTTCAAAGCACTTGACACTCACTAATGAGTTAACTCTCATGAACATCTCTGTGATGTGGGAGAGTCACTAGGTGGTGTTATTTTGGAGGGGCCCAGGGGAGGGGAGATGGGAATGGTGAGTTTAGAGATTTTGGCTCCAGTAAAATGAATGAGATTGGCCTTATCCAAACTGAAACCAAAAGCTATGCACCTCCGGAGTTGTTCTGAGTTGGACCCGGGCCAGAAGGGAAGAGTTTGAATCCAGGGATTTGACCCTCTGCCCTGGAAGTTCTGGGTGTGGCTTTTCTCTAATTTACCAATCATTAGGTTAGATGGTGATTAAATCCGAACAGCCAGATTCTATGAAATCATTAAAAAAGACCAAGAACAAATTGATGTAAAAGTGAGCTGAAGTGTTTATGTTCGGGGCTGACCCACATGCCGGGGCACTCAAAGTGATTAAACTGTCCAGTGGCAATTCGTTTTATAATAATCAAATAAATGAGTGTCCTGTTGGACAGTGATAGGATGATAAAGTGGGAACCCAGTATGTTAAGTGAGGCAGTAATAAACCCCGTGTTTCTGTAAGAGCTCGTAAGCATGAGAACACAGCTGTGAAGCAGTTTTTGTAAGCCAGTGCCAGGTGTATTTCACTTTTTACTGCGTTTGTTCAGTAAATTGAGTTCACAGCTCAAATTGCACAGCTCACTACTGAGTGCTACAGGTAACACGGTACCAGAGGAGAGCTGCAATTGACATAACTACCAGCAATGGTGCCTAATTTAGTTAATCTGCTCAAGATTGAGGGAAAAGATATAGAGCAGAATTCTGTGTTCTTTGTCCATGGAACTTTTCCCATAGGAGTCTCATGGGTCAGTTAGTCTTGCCCCTAAAGGCCTGGAGAAATGTGCAGTATCCTGAATACAAGACGTCTGTATTTAAACAGAGACTGTTTAAACCAGGGGTTGGCAACCTTTCAGAAGTGGGGTGCCGAGTCTTCATTTATTCACTCTAATTTAAGGTTTCGCGTGCCAGTAAAATATTTTAACGTTTTTAGAAGGTCTCTTTCTATAAATCTATAATATATAACTAAACTATTGTTGTATGTAAAGTAAATAAGGTTTTTAAAATGTTTAAGAAGCTTCATTTAAAATTAAATTAAAATGCAGAGCCCCCCGGACCGGTGGCCAGGACCCGGGCAGTGTGAGTGCCACTGAAAATCAGCTCACGTGCCGCCTTTGGCACGCGTGCCAGAGGTTGCCTACCCCTGGTTTAAACAAATGCACACTACTCCAGTCTGTACTCCCAGCAGAGAGACACAAAGGGTTCCTGGAAGAAAGGAGAGAGGGAAGGATATTTCCCAAGGAAACCAAGAGAAAACCTTTCCCCGGCAACACAAATGAAAGCAACCAGGAGCTTAAATCACATCCCCTCTAATTAAAAGCGAATACTGTAACTGACGTGTTTGAGGATCTAGTAGTCTGTGGGCCTGATTCATTGCTTCTTGCTCCAGCATTAGGCCATTGTAACTCTGTACAACTGACATCAAAATAACACATTGGTGAATTGGCCATGGATCTGTGGAATAATACTGTCTTTCAGTAGCTTCTGTTTGCCAGAAGCTGGGAATGGGCGACACGGGATGGATCACTTGATGATTACCTGTTCTGTTCATTCCCTCTAGGGCACCTGGCACTGGCTAGATGGACCTTTGTTCTGACCCAGTATAGCCGTTCTTATGTATGTTCAGTAAAGCGTTGGTCCTGCCACGTGAGCTTACAAGGAAGTAGAGTCTAGGTGCAAGTTTCTGATTACAGGACTTCTTTCTTCACTCAGGCAAAACTCCCCTGGACTTCTCTGGGAGTTTTGCTTGAGGAAGGATTTCAGGATTTGGTCCAACATGAACAGCAATGGCCTTATTGTATAGCAACTGGTTTTACCTGGTAGGTTTGTCAGAGCTCCAGTGTCAAGTCATAGGATCATTTTATCTCGACCCAAACTTATGATTTAGTGCTATCCAGCGCTGGTGAATCTCATCCGTCTCCTGCCCTGTGGCAGACAGTGTAGAATGCCCAAAAGGTGCATTACTTGCATGTCTGTGTTGGAGCAAGCTGTGGAAACGCTGTACAGCAAACCTTCTTAGGCCTGGTCTACACTACGACTTTAATTCGGATTTAGCTGCGTTAATCCGAATTAACCCTTCACCCGTCCACACTACAGAGCCAGTTAATTCGAATTAAAGGGCACTTAAAATCGATTTCTGTACTCCACCTCGACGAGCGGAGTAGCGCCAAAATCGATTTTGTTAATTCGAATTAGGGTTAGTGTGGCCGCACACCACCGAATTAATGTGGTTAAATTAATGTGCTTAGTGTGGCCGCGCACAATCGAATTTATACAACCTGTTTCCCAAATTCGAATTATCTAAATTCGGATTAATCCCGTAGTGTAGACATACCCTTAGGAAGTCTGCACTGCAGAGCCTGTGCTTCAGACCCTAACGCAGCTCTTTGTTTGCTAACTAGGAGGTGTACGTTGGGAAAGAGACGATGTGCACTGTGGACGGTCTGCACTTCAACAGCACGTACAGTGCTCGCGTCAAAGCCTTCAACAAAACAGGAGTCAGCCAGTACAGCAAGACCCTGGTCCTACAGACGTCCGAGGGTAAGACGCTTGAGCAATGTCATTGTGAAATGATACACCAGAGCCAGCGCTGCCCACACATAGGGGCCGTAAAATCCACGTCGCTTAGCATTGCGATGCAAGGAGTAACTCCATGGCTCCGGATTGAAAAAGCCAAACATTGCAAAAAAGTGACTGTGACAGGAAGAGTAAAGGTTATATAAGTCAGCAGGCCAGCGCAACGTCAGCAATTGTCTTCCAGGCCTTTCCTTCGCTGAATATTTTAGTGAATTACAGCGCTCTCTTGGGAGGAGAGCTGGTGATGTGATGACAGGCACCTCAGAGAAAAGCATTTAGGATTTGAATGATGACAGGTTCGCACCTTGGATGGAGTTGTATTATTCTAAAATGAAGCGCAAATGTCTTTAATTCCCTTTAAAAATAAAAACAATTCCAGAGAACCCAAGCACTGTGCTTGGTTGCGCTATGATTGTAATGTATGGTGTTTAGTTACACACTCTGTGGTGTACTGTAAGGATGAGAAAGACTGTGGGACCATCTGGGGTTCTTTCTATATAACAGCAAAGCCTCACCAATTCTATGTACAAAGCTGACTACATCCACCTCCTTCAGCTGCCTCGGTTAGAATATTAAATGCTGCTGTTAAGCATAACCAGAGGGAAACCTTTCTCTTCCTGCCTTTAAATACATCTGTCACACCAGGCAATTTATCCATCTTGGAAGATAGGCTTGATTCTGACATTCAGGTCGGGAGTCAGACGGCTAGTTTAGAAAAATGACTTGGGAGTTAGAAACAGCAGGTAATAATCTCATGATAAAGGCTGTCATCTCAGTGCCAGCACATCAGCAGTCCTTTAAAGTATAGTTATTAGCAGAAAAGTGACCCCTTTTTTTGTAGTTCTCCACACCTACTGGTATTCCCTTTCCATAATTTCCAGACCCACATCGCTCCATTTTTCAAGCCAAATCCAGGTGTCTCTAACCACCAGCACCGCAAGCTTAGCCTGGCTCTAGAAAACCAAGCCGTGCGCCTTCCGCTTCGTGCAGTTATCGTCAGCGCTAGAGATACTGGAACTAGAGCGTAACTAGTCGTTCTGTTGATGGTGCATAAGGCAGTTTAAACACAGCTTGTCCATACGCAGGAGCTGCGGCTTTTGAGTGTTGCCGAGAAAAAAGGTGTTGTGATCAGAAACCTCAACACAGACGCGTAGGAGCAGATTCGGATGTAGCCATTTTTACGTCTCTGACTTGTCATGCGTCAGGAGATGACGCCTGTTGTTCAGAAGGAAGCCATAATGCTTCCCTTTGTTTTGAGTATGTCGGCAATACAGACGGATGAAGTGTAGTGACATGTCTCGGAAGACAGAGCAGAGAGAAGCTGGAGCAAGAGCTGCTCTTCCTCCTTATCTGAGCTGCCGGAGAAGCAAGCCTTTTCATTACAAATCATGGGCCATATTTTGGCCTCTGACACTTACATGCGTCCCCCGGCTGGCGTCCACGTGAGTTCTGCACGTGTTGGCACGGACCGATGTGGGGCCCATGAAAAGTGCCGTATTCCCCCAAGAGCTCACAGGATGTACAGAACGACAAACCATCTCCAAAAGAGTCGGAACATTTAGGGCCCTCGACAAAGCTCTTCTGCACCACTCCTGCTGCCAAAGGGAAAGTGGAGAGCGGCGCTAAGCAGAGATTTTCAAGCGTGGAGGGACCCCCAGCTGGCTTAGAGCTGCTGTGGCAATTCAACACCAACCAGTCCCAACCCCCACCAGCACAGGGACAGGCAGGGGTGTGGCCAGAGTACCATAACCTCTTGCACCCCGCAGCTGCGTCACAGACACTACGGGGTCATCACCAGGCAGTGTAAGTGAGAGCAGCACTGGGGCTGCTTTAATTTACATAAGGGGTCAGATTGGCCCTTGACTGCCCTGAGGATTGTATAAATCCACACCCCTTGGCTCCTACACGAGTGGAGCTCGGCCAACCCCCCAGATCTGGCCCATGGAGCATTTCTTCAGCATTTGTATTAGAAGGTCCTTGATTCCTGTTAACCGCAGCAGGATGTGAGTATCTAATTGCCTGTATCCTGAAATGGAGATGTACCCTTCCCTACCTGAATGGCACAACTGGGGCAGTATTCCAGGAGATACCTAATGAGCTGAAGTCGCTGAGCCAGATTGTGATCTCATGGTGCTTTTATAGCCGTACAACTCTATGGACTTCACGAGGGCCACCCCTGATTTATAGCAGACGTAGGGAGATCCAAATCAGGCTGTCCTTTCACAGGGAAATCTTAGTTCAGAGAGGCACCTCACTTCCCTCCACCTTGCTAAATCCATATTTATACTGCGTTAAAAAATAGTGCATTTGCACCCAAAGCACTCCCTCTGGTTGGGCAAGGACCATCTCTCGTGGAGTCCAGCTTCAGAACTCAAGTCGTCCAAAGCTGCTGCTTCATTTCTGCAGCTCACCAAGAAACCCCAAATCCGCCCGCTGCTGGTTTTCAAAGTCCTCTACCTGTGTGTAAAAGAGAAGCCCAGCATCGAGCAGAAAGGGAGAGAAGGAAAGAGAGAACCCAAACCAGACTGTTCATGGAAGAATAGCTCTATGAAAATTACTGTATGTTGTCTGAGCGAGAACAGTGAATGCTGGGGAGGTCTGGAGAACAGGGAATTTAGGTAGGCAGAACACCTCCTGGAATTTAGCCCAGGTACTGCCACCAAAATCCATTTCTGACAGAAGAGCCATGGCTCTTTAATGGCAGTATGTGGTGCGGATGTTGGTTGCACGTCCCACTCACGAGATAGCACCTCCAGCAGCACAGTCCCCTCCAACACGGTTCAGGGACATTGGTTCAGTACTGACTCAGAGGGCAGAGAAACATCTACTGATACCACCATTAATCTGTGGATCCAGGCCTCAGGTCCCACTCTTCCCTCAGCCCCCTGATCCTGCCCTGCCCATGGTGGAAGTTAAAGCAGCTTTAGGGCTGTTCTAATTTGCACCCAGCTGCCAGCATAGATATAGATTTATTATATATGCTATATACCTGGTTACACCTGGCTCTGCCCCCCATCTAGGGAAGCTATTGCTGGCGAGTGCACAAGGGGGTGGCTTTTGTTTGGAAGTCTCCCCTTTATACAAACTAAAAAGCCAATGCAATGAGAAATGATGAGCCCCTATTGTTACACATCGTACCATCCCAGAGCGCCCCCTCGCAGGGAGAGCTAGTGCTATGGCACTTCCACCTCCGTCTCCCCATATCACACCCCCTATGCCAGAGGCTATGGGAGTGGGGTGTGTCGCTGGCTACGTCTGGTGTGACGGCACGTCCGCTTCAGTTTCCCCACAATGATCGGCAGCCTCCTCTGGCCAAGCCACCTGAGAACGTTCGCCCTTCCAGGGGACCAGAGTCCTTCAAAAAAAGTCCCACAAAGCCCTGAAAAAGGGAATATTTGGCACAGGCTCAACACTCAGGTTTCCTCTGGGTGGATATTTGCATTGTGGTATCCAAAGTCCACGCCTGTCCACCTGGCGCAGGCCCCACATAACATAGGAGCCCATCAGAAGGCTTCTGTTGATGGTCCCAGCACAATGGCGTTGTGCTTGGAGCTCTCTTTCCAGCATTTGCCAGGAGACAGGCTTTCAGAAACAGAGCTTTTGTTCACAGGAGTATTTTTACTGAATGGCTCCTTTTTTGTTATTCCAATGAAAAAGAAAAAGAGCTAAATGTGTCCCAAAGCATTTTCTCCTCTCAGAGGCACTCAGCGCTCTTTGGGCCCAAAACAGAGAAATAAATTGTGCCTGTATTCAGCTTAAGGGTATCTGAGTGAGTCATTAAACAGATCCCTTCTGCACTGACAACTGGTTTGGGGTATTATTTCTAGCCTATACCGCAGAATTGGGCTTCTGAGTGCAGATTTGCATGACCCGGGTTTAGCAGAGTGCTTTATCCTTCCAGCTCCGTAAAATACTGTGGAGCGTTTTAGTAGGAGGGGAAATGAGAAGAAAAGAAGAGGAAGGAGCAAAGAGAAGAAGATCATTCGGAACTTGGCCGTGCTGTTGTTACCGTTGTTAATCTCTTGTTAGTAACTCGTTACTAACTGCTTAGCTGAAGGCACGTGGAGGTCTGGTTCATTTGTTTAATTACTGATTTCCAGCTCTGGCATATAGGGCCTGATCCAAAATCCACTGAAGTCAAAGGGAGTCTTTCTGTTGACTTCAGTGCACATTGAAATAGACCCTAGGGAACCATGGGGCTTCGTGTGCCATGCCCCACCACTACCTGTAGTACAGCCACAGGAGCAGTAAAAAACTCTTAACTAGGGAGACAGTGTGAGGAGCAAGTGGGGCAGGAGGCTCAGAGGGGACGATCTGGGGAAACCTCACCGCGGGGGGGAGGAGGTAGCAATGTGCTAGTATCTCTTTGGGCACTTTCACCCTGCATGAAGAATAGGATGGTCCATGCTGCAGGAGATTGGCAGGGAGTGTTTTGTAAAATAAAAACATTGAGTTTCAAGGCAGGTTCCTCAGTGATTCGAGTATCTACGAATAGGGCATCTGTAGACAGAGGCCTCGAACCAGCTCAGTACTTCAGCCCATGCTGAGCTGTAAGCACATGCATGAGAATGCTCCGTGAAGCCAATGGGACCGTTCCCAGGCAATAGATTCCCAAGGTGGTAGGGACCTCATAAATCTGACAGACAGACAATCCTGATAAACATACTCTCGGCTGTCTTAAAGGGCAATTTTGTTGTCCATTTTAAGAGATGACAATTTGCTCTTTTAAGGGTCATGCTAGATGCCTGCAGTGGGGCCGGATGGACTCCTAGCGATGAGGATGTTAATTGCACAGAGTCATTTTAAGCAGACAGTCCCACAAGATGAGCAAAAACATTCTCCAAGTAGCCTTTTTGTTTCCCAGAGATGAAGAGCCACATACCCCGTATTTAACCATCCGACCTAAAAATGGCAGCAGTTTGTCTGCTGTTGTTAGCAAGGAACTGAACGCAGTTGCGGCTGCATGATAGCTTGAGATCGTTTCGTCTCCCCAAGTTGGTGGCGGGTTATTTTATGGGTAGCCCTAGAGAGGGGTATCCAAGCAGAGGTGTCTCCTGTCTGTTCTCGGAGGACAATTTATGTGACCCTCCCTTAGCAGGTTTACAGGGCATTGGTACTGTAAATGTGGACCAGCCCGACTTAATTCTATCCATGGTTGCTGATGAGATCCTTGGATGAGGTTCAGCCCCCTGATTTATTTTTCGGCCTGTCTTCTCTTAACTTTGTGGTGCCCAGAGTAGGTGATTTCATAGCGGTTTTAGACCCTCCAGTGAAACCGGCTTCCAAGAGAGGTCTTACAGAACGGCCTGGTTCTACTGCACTGCTCTGTAAAACCTTCAGATCTGATTAGGACACAAGCAGACCCTCACACGAACAGCAGTTTTTCATGAGGGCAAAGGACAGGCAGAGCAAGCGGTAACTCGGATTCCCTGAGCAGTGCAGAAGGTGAGGATTAGAACACAACAGGAATGACTGGCAGCCTGCCTTCCCCAGTAGGGAGCAGTATTGCTGGGGATGGAGATCTTAGAGCTGGCTTCAGAGAAGTGTGACAGCGGGACTCTGTGTGAGAGCAGAATTTAGAATCATAGAATCATAGAATATCAGGGTTGGAAGGGACCTCAGGAGGTCATCTAGTCCAACCCCCTGCTCAAAGCAGGACCAATTCCCAACTAAATCATCCCAGCCAGGGCTTTGTCAAGCCTGACCTTAAAAACCTCTACGGAAGGAGATTTCACCACTTCCCTAGGTAACCCATTCCAGTGCTTCACCACCCTCCTAGTGAAAAAAATTTTCCTAATATCCAACCTAAACCCCACTGCAACTTGAAACCATTACTCCTTGTTCTGCCATGTGCTACCACTGAGAACAGTCTAGATCCATCCTCTTTGGAACCCCCTTTCAGATAGTTGAAAGCAGTTATCAAATCCCTCCTCATTCTTCTCTTCTGCAGACTAAATAATCCCAGTTCCCTCAGCCTCTCCTCATAAGTCATGTGCTCCACCCCCCTAATCATTTTCATTGCCCTCCGCTGGACTCTTTCCAATTTTTCCACATCCTTCTTGTAGTGTGGGGCCCAAAACTGGACACAGTACTCCAGATGAGGACTCACCAATGCTGAATAGAGGGGAATGATCACGTCCCTCGATCTGCTGGCAATTTAATCCAGACACTGAGTGCCAGAGGAGTCATTACGGGTGCTGATAGGGAATGTCTCTGACAGCACAGCAGCCTTCTCCAAAGCTTCACATCTGTTACCCTATCGTAGGGTTGGCAGACACAAAAGTTCAAGTACCCTTTAAGGCACGTGTACATGCTGCAGACCCTTATGCTTAGATCTCATCTCCTCCTTCCCTCCCGCTATCGCCCAGCATCCCTCTGCCTTTTCTATCCGCTCGTTATTCTCATTCGACCAAGCGCTTTTGGATTCCAGAGAATTTAGACTAAGCAGGGGCTACATCCAGGGCCCATCGTAAGACCCAATTACCATGTAAGGCTTTGTGCTAGGACAGGCTGCTGTATGCTGGTGTGGAAGCAGAAAAAGAACTATCAGAAAAGAACTGCAATGCATGACAGTTCTTTTTCTGCTTCCACACTGGCTCTGAATGATGGAGCCCATTCTGGTGGAGCAGGTTACCGTGAAGTCCTCTGACAGGTAAGCAAACTAGAAGAAGGGTTGGAGCTTAGGTTCCCCATGGGTATCACAAGCCTTCAGAATCACCAGACAAGTGATGCTTACAGCTTCATCAAGAGCTTCTGCTCACAGCTGCCTGCCTATGACGGGCGGAAAGGCTGTCGGGGCAGGCATCAGAATAATGACAGTGCACTTTGGGAGTAGGGTGGTCACAAAGGACCTGGATTGCCATGGTGGGACAATGAAATCTCACCTATACAGCGTGGTAGCCTGCAGTCACTCTGAGACAGATCCGCTGCTCATTGAAGTGAATGGGAGGACTCCCAGCAACTCCAGTGGCCATTGGATCAGGCCCTCAGATCACAGGGTTAACTCCTAACAAAACTCCTATTGGGAGGATCAGGTGTGTTTTGATAGATGCAAAGAGTTATCCAGAAACTCTTAACCTGTGGAACTCATTGCCAGGGGTTGTTATGAAAACCAAATCTATAGCGGGGTTCAAAAAAGAGCTAGATAAGTTCATGGAGGGTAGGTCCAACAATGGCTGTTAGCCAAGATGGGAAGCTGGGAGTGGACAACGGGGGATGGTTCACTCGATGATTGCCTGTTCCATTCATTCCCTCTGAAACACCTGAATTGGCCCCTGTCGGAAGACCGGATACTGGGCTAGATGGACCTTTGGTCTGACCCTTCTGATGTTGTTAAACACACCATCCTGTACCCCCTTTGGGTGAGGTGGGTTTTTGAGGGCACTTTTAGTAACACAGTTTAGATCAGCCTCGCAAAACTGCATTGACAGGTTACCAGCCCAACACAAAACCTACACAGCCTGCCCTTTCCTCTGATGAGTATAATGGACAAGAGAGTATATGATAGCATGTAAAATACATCTGCTGGGACTTGGGTATGGTAAGATGTGCATCTCCCTCGGTGGGATACGTTACTGTGATGCCTTCCAGAATTTGCTAAAAATAGGATTTAGCCTAAGAAAAGCTGATCAGATTTGTCTTCAGCTCCACAGGGATGTTTTTGAAGACTCAAATATGTTTACTGGTTACAGCGTCAATGATACGGTATTATTGAGTGGTATCTGTGCTCCAGAACTTCCTGTGTCCTCCTGCTCAGCACACATGCTGCAGCACAGCCTATGCATGTTAAAGTGTCTGCGTTCTGCACCGGGGGCTCGGCTCCGGTAACGGTTTGAAGTCAGCCCGCAGATTTCTGATGTGGGGTTTGCATTGATCTTACGTTTAGACACAGAGTCAGAAGAACAGACCCTCCCTTTTCCAGTGCCTTTGGAAAGATTTCAGCTCCGTAGAATGAGTCCTTTCTCCTCCACACTTAATCTACAACCCAGCTTCTCAGGGAGATCCTACTTTGAGCTAAGATCCTCGTCCCACCCGCTGAGCTTGCATTCTTCTTTGCAGTCTCTGAATTCAGCCGGTGAGCTGAGCACGTCTGGCATTTCCTCTTGATCTGTGCTTTTGGGCAGCTCCAAAGTATTTGTTTGTTTTGTTTTGTTTTTTTCCCATGACATTCATATGCCAGGGGGATAAGTTGTTCTGTTTGTCAGTGGCCTGCTCCTGAAGTGAAGGGAATTTGGATGATGTAGCTTTGTGGTGTATATTTCTATGTAACAACAATACCATTGTCGCTGTCATTTAACGGCATTGATTAGCAAGCCCCGGGTCAGTGCACAATTCCTTATACGACAGCTATTATGAGCAAGGGAGGAGCCGTGCTGGAATTACGGGAACAGCACTGGCACACGCCGCTGAGGGAATGCTGGGGAGATACGGGACGGTTCTAGGAAAGTCAGCTGCTGCCGTAAGATTTGTTCATTGCAACTCTTTCGAAGGCTGTTCGATTAACCCTCGACCCAACAGACCTTTTTAAAAAGAGATGTTAACAAACACAGAAGCAAGCAGGGCGTTGAGTGGGCCACAACTCTTCTCATCTGAGGACTGTCGAGTCTGATTTTTCAAGGTGCTGAGTATCTGCTGCTCCCACTGACTTAACTTTGAGTGGTGGGTGCTCAACACCTGTCAAAATCAGGCCCTCTGATAGGTAAAGCCTCTTTTTCTGCAAAGGGGAGGAAAAAACATGAATAAAATTCTGAGTAGCGTGCAGGGCAGTTGGTTATAAGCACAGCCCCCCAGGTACCCTGCCTGCCTCCATAGTCCTTGCCTTAGTGGTTTGTGACAAGGGTTTAGGCCAGGGGTCTCAAACATGCGGCCCGTGGGGTTCTTTTGTGCGGCCCACCAAGCTCCCCATGCCCCCCCCCCGCCTACCCCGTGCCGCCGCGAGCCCCGCGCCGCTCCCTGAAGCGTCTGAACTACTGTATGTTCCTGCAGCCCCAGGCAGGGGGGTGGGAGGCGAGTAGAGGGCTCCGTGCTCTTGCAGCTCCCATTGGCCGGGAACTGGGAACCGCGGCCAATGGGAGCTTTGGGGGAAGTACCTGGAGGCGCAGCAAGAGCAGCACATGGTGCCGTTTCCCCTTTCTCCCTCCCCCCCAGGGACTCCAGCCGCTTCCCGGAGCAGAGCGGAGTGGGGCCGGGGACCAGGCAGGCAGGGAGCCTGCCCTGGCCGCAGTGCGCGGCGCTGCCACCCCGGATCCGCTCTAGGTAAGCGGCGCCAGGCCGGAGCCCGTACCCCGCACCCCTTCTGCACCCCAACCCCCTGCCCGGAGCCCCCTGCCGCATTCCACACGCCTCCTGCACCCCAACTCCCTGCCCTGAGCCCCCTGCCACACCCTGCACCCCTCACCCCTCCTCCACCCCAACCTCCTGCCTGGAGCCCCTTGCCACACACTGCAGCCCAACCCCCTGCTGCACCCCTCACCCCTCCCGCACCCCAACTCTCTGCCCAGAGCCCCCGCCGTACCCTGCACACCTCCTGCACCTCAACTCCCTGCCCTGAACCCCCGCCACACCCCTCCTGCACCCCCTGGGGGCAGGGAGGGGGCAGAGTTGGGGTGAGGACTTCAGGGAAGGGGTTGGAATGGGGGCAGGGAAGGGGTGAGATAAGGTGAGGCGGGGCAGGGGCGGGGCCTCATGGAAGGGGTGGAGTGGGGGCGAGGCCAGGGCAGCAAGTGGGGGGTGTCAGTGATGCGGCCCTCGGGCCAATGCACTAGTCCTCATGCGGCCCTCGAGGTCATCTGAGTTTGAGACCCCTGGTTTAGGCTGATTCACTGTGCAAAGTGCAGCCAGAGTCTCCTTTCCCTTGCGGTGAACAGCGACTAGCAAAGGAGCGGCAGGCATAGCTGATCTCTTTGGTGCTATTTCATAATCATGGAAACCAATTTTTGCACCTTTCTTATTTCTAAAGCTCCCAGGGCCTCATTCTCCCACCGTGCCGGGTTTAAACCAGTGTCACTTCAGTGGCATAACCCCCAACTTACTCTGGCTCAGCAAGGGGAGAGTGGGGTCCCTTTTATTTTGTTTCCATCTCACAACTCGGAATGAGGAATGCTGCAGCATGACAGTTGCCAGAACATACAGGGGCCCCTACCCCCTGTCAGCAACCCTTTTTTTCTTTGTGCTTTTATGTTGTTCATTGTACTGCTGTGCGCTGCTGGCTTGAACTATGTTTTGTTATTGGACGTTTTGACTTTGTGTCCAATGTACCGAGATCTATTGTAACGGCTTTGATCAATACCTGTATGTGGAGTGTGTATCTTTGGGATCACAGGCTGAGGTCTGGGAAGCGGGAGGGAGTGGGGGACAGGGGTTGGAATTTTACAAACCCATCTAACCACTTTCTTCTTATTTGTCCTGCTGATGGGTTAATTTGTATTACAGTAGAGCCCAGAAACTTTGAAAAAAAACCCTTCGAAAGGGGGCACAGGGCACGATTCATTAAAACTGCCTCAGCAGCCATTGCAGCGTTTTACCCAGCAGGAGTTAAGTGCAGCATGAGGTTCAATGAGAAATATACAAGATGTACCCTGCCTGGAGGGACCGGTGTGAATGTGCTAGAGGAAAACATTGGCACAGAGAAAACATCTCAATTTTTTGCATGCAAATCGATTGAAACCAGTCACAGACCCATCCGAAGCAGTCCAGCCCTAAAATAGTCCGACAAAATGGGATCGCATCACTCCCATGCTGGTTCTTCTTTCCCCCAGATGCAAAAATATCCCCTTTTCTCGATAAATCGCTAAGGAGTAATAAGGGAAGAACAGTTTGTATGAAGCTACAATAGCTTCTTTATCAAATTCGATACATTTGGGCCCGATTCTCTGGTGCGGTGCAGCCACTTTGCCCTGCGATGCTGGCAGAACCTGGCTATAGAGTTGGCGTAAATGACCCTAGTCAGATTACCCCAGTGCAAGGAGAATTCTCCGTTTGCACACAGCCAATATGGAGGGTTTTACACCATGTCCTTCCCAGCCATCAGTGAAGCTGGGGAAAAGGGGACATGGGTGGTGAACTCCTACACTATGCAATCCCCTGTGTCAGCCCTTTGGAGCTGTCGACAGCCAGTAGTTAGAGCAGTCTCCTGGCTGCACACAGGAGCTCCAGGATATGTCACGGGAACCATGGAAGGAGGTTGCATAGCACCTGCACACACTCACTCCGGCTCTGCTCAGTGGTCAGCCTCTAATTTTCATGAGTACCAAATGCCATCAGTAAATGCTCAGTGTAATGTCGTATAATGACGCTTAGCTCTCACTGCAGCATGATTACTCTTAAAATACGGCAATAGCTAAACTAGAGTTATGTAGCTACCTAAAAGCCACCTACGTTAACATGAAAAGTGGTCAAGGACTCGGTCAACCTTAATCCACTTGCTCTTTTTTTTGGGGGGTGGATTTCAAATGATTTTTTCAGAATAACTAGATATTCTCCGTCTTACTGGAGAGAGTTCTCTCTAAGTCAGATGCTGTCTACCCATCTTGTTCCGATTTCTTTCCCCAGAGGAAGTCGCGGATAGTATTTTTGAACATGCAGCATGTAAGGAGATTTACTGAATGGGGAAAACATTTACTTTTTGCTGCTAGAGGCTCTTTTTCAGAGGCCAGTACAATCCCTTGGACTCTAATGAAAATAGAGGCCAGGATCTTCAAAAGTATCGACCGATTTTGGATACTTTGGGTTTTTAGGTTCCCACCCTGAGACACTTTAAAGGGCCATGATTGTCAGAGGGTAAGTGTGCAGCTCTTTCTGAAAATCAGACCCCTTCCAGAAGCCTCTTAAGTTGGGTACCCAAAATCACTAGTCACTTTTGAAAATCTTGAACATGGTCTTTGGCTTTTAATGAATCAGGCCTCAAGTGATTGGATCAAATGGATAATTTTGCAAGTGTTTACAAGTATTTTTTGTGAGACTGGTTGTTACGTCTTAGCTTTGATGTGTGAAATATAGTATCTCTTTATAGGATGCAATTTTGAGACACAGTCAGCGCCTTACTCTCAATTAGGCAAGTATATTTATTACAATTAAGTGGTTCTTACTTTGTGTTGGTCATTTTTTTATATTTGATTTGTATGTTAAGCCTTTTTTTGACAAAGTAAATAAACAGCTCACTATAATCAAAGACTGTTTCCTACTTTACATCCTGTTTCTCAAATTCCATCCCAGTGATTTGAATGAGGAATGGTCATTTCGGTTTGGTGTTAAAGGAATTTTAAGTTCTTCCGCTTGTTGGTTTTAAAGAGAAACCTGAAGCTGGGCTGTGGAAATGGACTCCCCATCAAACTCTTATCCTTAAAATAAAATACATTTGGACCCCACCTGACCAAGGTACTTAAGCATGTGTCAGACTTTAAGTACATGATTAGTCCCATTGAAGCTAATTGGACTATTCATGCACTCAAAGTTAGACATTGACCTGGCTGAATCAGGCATTTGGGTCTGATTTTTACAGGTGCTGAAAACTTGCATTTCCTGGTGATTTCTGTTGGAGTAGCAAGTGCTCTGCAGCTTGCAAAATCAGGCCCCTTAATTCTTTTTGGAAAAAGCAAACCCTTTTAAGATGATCCGACTCAGCTAAATTCACCAAATGATTCATGCACCGTGTAGTTTAACGCGCCCTTCATTTACAATGCAGGCTCATGGTGAGTCCATGTATACACACATTTCAGGACATGGGGGGAAAAAAAATTCATGCAGTGCATGGAAAAGTATGTGAGCAAAAAAAATATTTCTGAATTCTTTATTTTAATAAATGCCAATTTTACTTCCTGTTTCTTTCCTGCATGCCTTTCATTTGGAATGACAACAGTTGACATTAAAAAACTGGTGGCAGGTATGGAACCCTTTATATTGAGTTATAAAACCAGTAAGTGAGCTAGCTTGTGAAAAGACACAGTAAATCAATGAATAAATCTGTTTTATTTTCAAGCAGTGTTTACTTGGGTGAGAATATGTGTCCAGGTGTGCGACTATGTTATGGATATGTCAGTTTGAACTACATTAAATGCACAATAGATCACAGGAGAGGAAAAAAGCACCTATGAGGCTTGGATAGTGGGTTATGACATTCTGTTACTCTGTGTATTGTCAAAAAGGTGATGTTCTACCTGTCCGGTTTACTGTATCCAAGTCGCAATGTATTTAAATCGGCAATCATGCCGATTCCTAGAGGTTCTCAACATTTTCCAGAGCTCATATGAACTAGATTTTATAAAAATAAGATTGAAGGTTCTCTAGGGAGGTTACTTGCTGTTGTTTAATCTGTCGGTCAATGTAGATTTTTGTGTGTGCTGTTGATTACTAGACCTGCAAGCACTCCCCCCTCACACACACTCACACAGAGTATCTGCTAAACTTTAATCCCCCTCCCCACACTGAGCCTGAACCTGCAAGGCATTACGCACATGAGTAATCTTTAGTCATAAGAGTAACTATTATTAATATTTGTATTACACGACTACCTAGAGGCCCAACCAAAGTCAGGTCCCCAGTCTGCTAGGTGCAGTAGAAACATGTAGCGAGAGGCAGTCCCTGCCCCGAAGAGCTTACAGGCTAAATAGATAGGACCAACGACAGATGGGAGGGAATCAATGTGACAGGGAATCAATGGGTCTCACCCAAGGTCACACAGCAAGTCAGTGGCAGAGTCGGGAATAGAAGCAGGCTCTACAGCATCCCAATCCTGTGCCCTACCCACTAGCCCATAACAACCCCCAACCTTTGTGTAAAAGTTTTCAGGATCAGGCTCCATGACTCTGGTGTTGCTGGTCTGCCAGTTACCAGGCCTAGGTATCAATAGCCTCCATCAGTGATTCCATGCCCACAGGGATCATTTTTGAGCAAGGAGACCTTCTCCTATGGGTTAATTCTACTGAGTCAGTCCAGTCGCTCTCTACCTTCCTCTGAGTTTATAGTGAGCCGGTTCCCTGCCGCACTTGGTGATAAGCGCAGCCTAAGTCCACTGCTGAACCTCATGGTTGAGCTTTCTTCCTGCAAGGTGGCGCGTGGTGCTTCTCATCCCATCTGTGTGGCTTTGTTGCTGGAATGGATTGTTTCAGCCGTACTAAACAGCTATCCTTTGTGTATTTCCAGTGGCCTGGTTTTCGTTCGATCCCGGCTCTGCACACTCTGACATCCTCTTTTCCAATGACAACCTGACTGTCACCTGTAACAGCTATGATGACAGGGTTGTGCTGGGGAAAACTGGCTTTTCCAAAGGGCTCCATTATTGGGAGCTGTCGATCGATCGTTACGATAACCACCCAGACCCGGCCTTTGGCGTGGCTCGTGTTGATGTCCTCAAGGATGTCATGCTAGGAAAGGACGACAAAGCCTGGGCAATGTATGTGGACAATAACCGGAGCTGGTTCATGCACAACAATTCACACACCAACAGGTATGCCACAAACCCTGAAATCAGGTCTTCTCTAGACTCTCTTTCTCTCAGAGATCAAGGCCCAAACTCAACCCTGATGTAAGCTACTCCTTCAATGGCAGCTGCACACATGTACACTGGGAATGGATTTGCTCTCTAGAGCCTAAGGTGAAGTCCTTATGCTTAGCATAAACTAGGGGCAGTTCAGACATCCTTGGTGCTGTACCAGCTACAAGAACACTTCACCTACTGTGCTAAGAATGAAATGATCCTGGTCTATCTCTACTTCCTAGTCCTCTGAACATTCATCCGTCTATCCGTGCAGAACATTTCACCACTCGTGAGTAAGGCACTCATCCCACACTCGTGCCAATAAACCTTTATCGCTTTTATACCATCCGGAGTGCTATACTGAGGTGTAGAAATTCTGTCTCCATTTTTCCGTGCAAGCCAGTTTGTCAGGATAGTATACTTATTTTGTAAGCAATGCGTTCTTCCCACACGCTCTTCCGCCCTTTCACTGGTAGGGTATGGCTAATGACTGAGTGCAGTTGGCCACCACTAGACCAGCTGAATAGATGGAAGCACGCTGCTCAGCCAGTCATGTGATGTAGGTGGTTGTAGATGGGTGAGACCCACCTGGATGCCAATTAGCATTGAGCTCGGAGGATTATTCTAATTGTGGTTGTGTTTGAGATGAGACTGGCATGTGCAACCATCTTAGAATACGCTCTGTGGAGGGGTCTCGTAGCACCTGTGGCTCTGCTGTACTTTTAAAGTGACAGTATGTTACCCTTTTGTGTCTCCTACGTGCTCCCCCCACGTAATTCCCTATGACGCTTCCTTACCTGGAGGGAAAAGAACAAGAGAAAATGTCTGCAGGCACCATACAGTGGAGGAACGTGTAACGGTATTAAGTTGTGTCCATTGTTACTGTCAATCTTAACACGGAAACAAGAGTTCCCCATACAGGGCAAAGCTATTTTATGGCCCTTGGGACCCACCCATAGGGTTGGGGAGTCTTTGCATTGACTGCAATGGGAGCTGGATCAGGGCCTCAGCTGCTGAGTGAAAAGTGAGATTCAATAGTAATACCGACTAGAATTTTAAAAGGGGTGACAGACTGTGATGTTTGTTATGTGTTGTGGAGCACCAGACTTCGGCGTGTGGCACAGTCTTACAGCACTAGTGTATATGCTTCCGGGAGATGCTCCGATTATGTAATGGTTGCCTTACTTCTTTTGTCCTAAGTTCTATAATCCACAAACAGTTTGGGCCAAATTTGGGGATCCATACTCAGTCCTCAGCCTGGCAAACACCCACTGACTTCCCAGGTGGCTCCTTAGGAATGGCTGAGCCGCAGTTTTAAAAGTTCAGAGAAGCCAGTCTTTTCCCAAGTCTCTGCAAACTATGCGATTGTCCTCTGGGGCACAATTCCGCCCTGAGACACACCTCCCTGCAAACGCTTCCATTGAAGATAATGGGAGCCCCGTGTGTGTATCCAAGGGGCAGAATCTGGCCCATCATCACTAGGCTACAATATTGTGCAGTTAGTGTGTACACGTGTATTTGTCCCTTGAAGTGTTTTTAGGCTGCACTGTTTCACTGGAGACTGCCAGGAATCAGGGACAGGGCTGGATTTCCAATTAGGTACAGTAGGCACGTGCCTAGGGGCATTCTAGGGGTGCCGTACCTCTCTAAAACTCTGTGAAACATGAAGGTCAGCTGTAGGTGTGGGGGCGCTGAAGATGCTGTGCCTAGGGGCGTGTAAGGTGTAAATCTGGCTCTGATCAGGGGTGTTGTTTTGTGCATTTCAGGGAAGCCATTCCGTCCAGACGCTGTAGCACGGCATTAAGTGATGCACATCATCTGACTTCCTCTTTCCCCAACAGGACCGAAGGGGGAATAACAAAAGGTGCCACCGTTGGAGTGCTCCTTGACTTAACCAGGAGGACCCTAACCTTTTCCATCAACGAAGATCAGCAAGGTCCTGTGGCTTTTGAGAACATGGAGGGCCTGTTCTTCCCTGCCGTCAGTCTGAACAGGAATGTACAGGTATGTGCTTTGTCAGAGAAAGAGGTTTCACAGCAGCAGCATATAAAAGGTCCGAACCTGATGGCGAGCTCCTGCCTTTGGAGCACTGTCTTTCTGTACATTTAGCACCATTCTTATCCACTAGAGTGTTCTCAACAGTGTAAGAAAAACCTCAGTAGCGGCTAGAAGGGGTGAGAACCTTTGTGGAACAGGGCAGTTTGGAAGAGTAAATAGAATGACCCAGGTCACTGGTGAGCCACTGACATCAAGATGTGCCTCTGGACAGCACATAGCTTGTTCCTTGCGCTTCTTCTCTCCCATGGATGGCAGGAGAACAGGAGTGCCACTGCCTTTGGCTCAGTAGAACTTGGCCAGGAACATCCTTCTCATCAACATCCTTATCAACATCCTCCAGGAATCGCACTAGTTATTAAAAGTCTCCCTGTAAAGGCACGGGACTCACCCCTGTGCCGCCTCCTGCTGGTCATCTCAGGGAATTGGCTCTTTTCCAGCCTGGGCGCCCTCTGCAGGCTGGTGTCCCGCTTGTAGCTGGCCCCGTGTCCCTCCCAGACCCCGGTGCCCCTTTACCCTGGGGCTGCCCCCTGGCAATACCCCCACCAGTCTCTATGGGTCTCCCCTCTCTGGGAAACCCCCCAACCCTCTAATCCCCACCTTGCCTCAGTCTGGGCTACTGCCAGTCATCACCAAGCCCCCGCTCCCTGGGGCACACTGCAGTGTAAAAGCCACTCATCATGGGCAAGGGGGTTCGGACCTGCTGCCTTCCTCTGTCTCCCAGTATCTCTATGGGCCTTGAACCAGACCCTGCAGCCTGGGGAGTTGCCAGCCTGGAGCTCCCCTGCTCCTCTGGCTCTCCCCAGCCCTGCTTCACTCCCAGTCCCCTTTCTGCAGGCAGCCAGGCCCTGCTCTCTCCCAGCCTGGAGAGAGACTCCTCTTGGGCCTCTGGCTCACAGCCTTCTTATAAGGGCCAGCTGGGACCTCATTAAGCCAGCCACAGCTGTGGCTGCTTTCCAATCAGCCCAGCCTTTCCCCTGCCACAGCCCTCTCCCAGGGCTGTTTTCAGCCCTTCAGGGCAGGAGAAGGATAACCACCCCGCTACACTCCCATGTCCCACTGGTGTAATACCAAGGATGTTCTGCAAACTGTTCCACACACAGCAATTTCAGACACAGGCTCTCTTTTGAGCTCTTGACCATGCATGAACTCTAGCTCCGCAATGACGACTGGAAGACCGTTTAATGTTTATCTTGCTCTAAACTAATCTGGTATTTTTAGTCTCAATTATTATTTTCTCCTATCCCCCCTTATTGTCCTCTTCAAGGCGTTATTGGTTTCATTCACTCAGCAGACACTTTCACTGAGCCTGGTTTTGGTCTGCCCATTTTATCACCCTTTGCTTCTCTAAGCACCGCAACATTGCCAAAAGATTGTTAAAATCTTCCTAGAAGATGCCAGGAAGAAATAAGCTTGAATCGGTTAAGTCAGGACGTTTCAGGCAGTTTGGTGAGGTGCCCATGTAGCAGGTTCAGTTATTTATTTTGGGCAATATGGATATCAAAGGTAATCTTCCCTAGGCAGGAGAGAGAGACACAATGCAGCCGTGAGCTCTATCCAGCACCCATGAATCCATGGAAAGAGTCCCATTGACTTCAGTGGGATTTGGATCAGGCCCGTGAGCACAAGGGGGAATTGGCTAGAAGTGCAAACATTGTGCCCGAATAAAGGGCATCCCCCATCTCCGTGCCCTCTAAGAACCATAGTCTGGCCCTTTCTTCACAGCTGATCCAGCGTTAACCTGATTTTATGGAAATCTGAGACTCCGGTGATCGATTCGGAGTACCATTATTAAATTGCTAAGCAACGCAGTCCTCAGTAAGATTATGATTTTATAGTGAGCCGTGACAGTGTGTTCAACACTCTGTGGTACTTGTCTGTGTATCTTTGTATGTGTACATGGGTGTGATACACATATACAAGCACCATTGCTCGATGAGTTTAATTCCCATCTCTACATCCATTACTTTGTCCTACGAGAGGAGAATATTTATCAAACCCCATTGCTTCCTGACAGATCAATAGAAGAGATAAAGTTTAAAATCCCCAAATAATAGAGGAGCCCAAGGACATGCTGATAAAAATACTGCTAATAAACTCAAGACATTTATTATCCTTTTCCCCCAAAGCTGTGTGAGTAACTCAAATGGCTTTATTAGGATTCAGAAGACTTTATTTTGGATAAAATCATTTGTAAATTTGACTCTAAAACCCCAACGTTATTTTGTAAGTAAAAGAACGAGTTACGCTTCCTTCCCACGATGAATATGAGAACTAAACTATGCAGAAAGGAGAATTAATCTGAGAAGGGACAACTCTACACAGTTGTATGCATATCAGTGATGTAGACAACAAAGCAAGCTACAGACTCTGTGACACTGTTCACAAAAACTGGCAATCCTCATAGGTTTTGAGACTGTAGGTCAGCCAGTTACAAGAACAACCTGACGGGATATTTTCCCTAAACAGAATCCAGCAGTGGTTTGGCCGTCTCTCTGGTTGGTTGATGAAGTCTTCTCTTTGTGAACCATTTTCCTGAGAAAAGAAAATATCAGTTTCTCTAATATGCGTGTCATAACAGATGAAAGAGAAGTGCTCTTCCATATTCCCTGGTATCTGTAGTGAAATCTGTGCACAGAAAGTTCTCTCCAGTATATTTGCAGAGATTGTCACAGACACAAAGGGGAGTGAGGGAGTTGGGCGCCTGATTCCCTTTTGTACCTTTGAAATCCTCTCCATGGCATACTCCTTGTTCTGCCACAATTGCTGCATCTGTAGCTGCTCAGTTATCAATGAGGGGACAGTCCCTTCCCATGTCTATATTCCTGCCCAGAGAAAATGCTGCCAGGGGAATCTGCTGCTGCCGCAGACCAGCTGTGACCAGCAATGCCTTGGAACACAACAGAGGCGCTAAGGGCAGGGAGGCAGGCAGAATTCCTGGAGCCCACAGTTGTTCTAGGGACCCAGCATCCCCAGAGAGCCTTTCTGCTTGAGCTCGGTGCACCCAGTCGTGTGATCCCTGCTCCTCTTATTACCGATCACATGTGGGTGATCCTCTTCTGGTGCCACCCGGCCTATCCTGCTCTGTGGCCTTTGCCTTGCGTCCTGCTCTTGGTTCTGCACAGGGATGGACAGATGAGTGTGAATTAAAGGTACCGTGTCAGGTTAGGCCTGCCAAAGATGTCAGGAGAGCATCACTGGCGTTCTCGGCGCCACGGGTACAAGGGGGAGGAGGCAGCGAACCCGCTACTGGGCATGAGGCAGCAGCAGGGAATACCACAAGAGGGGACAAGGAGGAGAGGCGTGGAGACGATGAATATTACAAGGGAAGGATGCATGGCTGGGGGGCCAGGGCTCCCAGTAATACATTTGGCTGCCCTCTATCACAGCGGGGCCTTTCCTCGGCACAGATTCCTCTGGGCATTTTGGAAGCCTGGTGGTTTTTAAAGATGGGAAACAAAGCTTGAATCATCGTGGGATGAGAACGGGGGAAGTTATACACTATCAGCCAGATCCAGTCAGGGAGCCCCTGTGCCTCCCCAATCACACCAGAGGCGTGTCCTGCCGAGCGCTCTGTGCCCCTCCTCTCGCACTGCTCCTGCTGCTGATGGCAATCCGCCTGTGCCAGGGACTGCGGGTCCACCACAGCCCTGATGCGCCGTGGCCTGCAGCCCGTTTCGCTAGTCAAGCCGGGCAGCCAGGGCACTCTCGTAAGCCGGAGCAGAATGCCAGCTGCACACAGTGCTTCTTGCACACGGTGTTTAGACCCCTTACTCTCTTAAGCAAAGTCAGGGGTGGAAGAATGCAGATTGCTCTCTGGTAACAGGCCTGTCGTTGCAGGTGACGCTCCACACTGGTTTGCCGGTCCCCGAATTCTATACTTCCAGGGCATCCATGCAGTGATGAGACTACTGAAGCCAGCTGCCTTTTCTCAGGATGAGTCAAGCGAGCTGCTTTACTTTGTCAAGAAGAGACCTCACAGGAGCCGGGGAATCTTTGGTCAGCTGGTAACTGGAGACCAGGGAAAACCAAAAACAAAAACAAAAGCGAGAAGAGAAGAAACCGGCCTTCTCCAGTCTTCGTACTCCACGACCGCACGGCAAACCCGCTTGGCGTCTCCGGCACCGTACTGTGCGCGTTTGCTTTGCTGTTTAGCTCTTTTGGCTGATAAAGTACCTAGGTAGCCCGAGATGTTACTCTGTGTCAGCTTTTCGGTTTGGGTCATTGCTTTGATTTGCTGTTATTTTTAAATGTGGGCTTTTAATTTCCTCCTACCAGTGTGGTTGCTGTTGACCAGTTTAGCTGCTGCCATAGCAAGTGAAACCCTTCCAATAACTTTCGACTGAGTTATACAGCAGACAAAAGATGCTGTCTAAAGAAACCAGGGAGCGTCTCGGGGCCGGGGGGGAGCCCTTTGTGGGCAAGCATTTGCTGATGCCAGTCAAATTACCTCCAGTGATGTTTCTTTCCCTGTGGCCTTTCTTGTGGAGTACCCTCAAGCATATTTGTAGACATTGGTCTTGGATTACCAGTTAGTCTATACAGAGCCAGGTGGAATGCATCAAGTATTTGGAGACAGTCATATCCTTTATAGCAGATAGGGCCAAATTCTTCCCTCACGCGTGGGTGTGGCTCACACTGAAGTCAGTGCATCCCTGGGCAGGATTTGGCCCAAAGATATTACTTTTAAATACCAAGAGGTTTGCCAGGGCTTCATCAGACCACTGTAATTAAGACGGGTAGGTAGCCGGAGAAGATAATTACATTTCTGATGGGATGATCACTTGGTTTCAGCAGAATAATTAGATGTTAATTGAACAGTTCTGGTTCTATAATTTATCATTTTCAAAGGCTTTTCTGTTGAGCTCAGTAGATGGACCGGGTTGTTTACCATCCTCCTGTTCCCAGGCACTGCAAGGCAGTGCGGATTTGCCAGAGGACTTGGGACGAGCACTTGCACCCACTCAGTGGCTTTATAAACTGCGCGCTACATAACGGTGCCAGCTGACACGGTGCTGCCATATCTCACAGGGCCTGCAGTTGGCCCTTTTGATATTAGCATTTATTTTTTTATAGCTACAGCGAAAACCTAGCCTTAAAAAACCACCCGACAGTGTCCTTTTTTTCGTAGAGAGGATTCATTCTGTTCCGAGGTTAGCATCACTTGGGGAGCAGGAGAGAACAGAGAGAGAAGAGGAAAGAGAGAGTCAGAATCACAGTTCATGGCATTCACATTCTCAGGAATAAACATGCTTGTTGCCATGCCTACCTGTGCCTAACATTCTGCTTCCATTCACAAACTTAACTTTCTGGTAATTCAGACAAATGTCACATGTAAAAACGACAGATTATTACCACTGTGTTTAAATGCCAGAACGTTAACTTTTCCCGTTTCTGTAGTGAAGAGACTGCATGCCGCATGTTATTACACTTTCCTTTGGTTGATGACACTCTCTAGATTAGTTTCAGGGGCTGGAGAAAGACTCCATTTTGTTGCCCACCATTTGCCAAGCAATTGAGTTTGTTGAAAAAACATAGTTAATTGAACTGGGGATAGGGTGGGAGGGGAAGCTAATGGAATAATGTTCCAGCAAAAAGACATATGTAAATAGATAATCATTTCCTTTAGTGCTTACCATTCTATTTAGAATGTTCTTATTTGTTATATTGTTATTCTAGTATTAAGTTTACCTAATTTATTGAATGGGTGCTATCTTGTTCATTTAAACCTATTAGTTTATCTCAGCTACAGAGGAGCTGTGTTGCAGGACAACGCTGATCTGTTATTTGTTTAATTTCTTATGAGACTCAGTTGCCGGGCCACTGTGGACTCGTTTTTCATAGTCGTTATATTCCCAGTTCTTGATGATGTTTATGATGCTTATTAGATTTCTAGTGACTTGTAACCCGTAGTTTACGCTGTACTGCAATCATAGCTGCGTACAGCTGCTGTACTAAAGAAAAGTGTTTGCTGTTCTAATAAATGACTTTTATGAGAGAACCGCATGGGTCCCCCGAGTGTCTTTCAGTTTTCCTCGTGCAGTCACTGGGGGTATTTACCGTAGTGACCGAACTTCCTGTGTTTGGGCCACCTCCTGCGTTCTCTGTGACCCGGGGAAGGAGGCCTGTGCATCAGTGCCATTGACACAGAGACTAGTGTGTCGGTAAGCAAGTGCGAGGGGCCTGGGAGGATCCCCCCATACACAGAGCACAGGGAGCGAACAAGGCTGGACCTGGTGTGTGGGCTCCACACGGGAGAGGGAAGTGAGCAGGAGCCAGTAGGCCTCACTCCTCCACTTCCTTTCCAGAAACTGCCACTGGGAAGCCCACAGGGGCAGCTGTGCAGACATGCCCAGGCAGGTATATTACCCCGTGGCCGACCATCTTTTCAGTGTTGCATTGAAGGATGTCGTGTGGGGTCCCTGCCGAAAGCTAAGAACTAGCTGATCTTCATGGTTATTGCAAGATGTTCGTACGGGAAACAATTTTAGAGTGATGTAACGTAGGCTATTGCGCTCCAAAACTGCTGGAAGTGAAACTTGTCACCTGAGGCGGGGGAGGTCTCAGAACTGACTCAATCAACACTGAGAACACTCAATATCCATGGGGCCAGCGCAAGCCCTGTGTTTACTGTCTGGCCCAGATGCAGGCTGGAGCATTTACAAAGCCAAAATAACCCCAAGAAAAGTCTCTGAACAGAGGACCCCCCTGGGCTACGAGACAATAGTCTGTAACTGTATCAGAGAAGAAGACAGGGCACAAGATATTATCCATTAGGGAGGAGACACTCTACCAGCGGGAGGGTCTCCTGAGAGGGGGATCCCAGCTTTCTTTGATAAGCATAGGCTAAAGATTGCCTTTTATGTTCTTCTTTTATCTGTAACCTTATGTTTCCAAACCCCTGTACTTGCTTTTATTTGAATCTACCTCCAACGCTGTTAAATAAACTTCAATTTGTTTTTACTATAGACACATCTAAGTGCCTTGTGCTAAGGGGAGTGTTAAACTGAGGTGACGCCGGTGAATTGGGGATGCACTGCCTCTACCCAGGCAGCGGATTGGCGTGCGTTGTGGGTTTCCAGAAGATAAGGGGCTGGGCATTTGAATGTAACAAAGTGGGTGTGTAAATTACTAGCCTGAACTAGGAAAGAGCAGAGCTCATGGAGCCCGGAGCAGAGCGCCTGTGTTGTCAACCGATGGTGGCTGAGGTGTTTTTCCCCTGGTAGACACAGACAGGGCTCCCTCCTGCTGTGAGCAGGTGGTAGTGATACACCACAGACAGCTGGGTTCACCCTGCAACGTGTCACGGTAGCGCTGACAGGATCCCGGCTGTGATACTAGAGGCCGTCAGAACAGTGACGTAGTGAGGTTGTTATGAACAGCATGCTCATAATCACATACGCAAATAAGGTTATTGCTGCCCAGACAGGCTGAACCCCCCTGCGGGAGTCAAATCCAGCTGTGTTCTCTGGAGCAACCCCAGGGCCTGCAATGCCATTCTCAGGGCTAGACTGGGTGCTCATGCAAGGCCGTAAGAGGGAGACAAAGAACTCTGAACCCCCACCTCTAGTTATAGTTCCCTGATTATCTAATCCAAGGCCACAACATCCTCCCTCCCTTTCCTTTGCCTCCTCCACAGGGGAGCATGGAGGCTTTGCCTGCTCTCGCTCTCCCCCCAGAAGAAAGGAATGGAAAGAAATGGAGCCTGCGTGTTCTGTTATAGACCAAGGGGAATGCGTCAGGCAGAGTTTTCCCCTGAGCACAGCCCCCAAAAGGGGTATCCACCAAGGCCAGCGAGTCACTTGGAGATCCTGAATTCCACCTCTCAGTGGGATGCCAGCATGTCTGGTCCTCCCCCAACCTCTGAACAGAGCGGGCGGCCCCAGCGGGGGGATATGAACATAGTGTGCCCACCTCAGAGGTGCCCAGGTGTCTGGTTTTCCCCAAACCTCTGGAAAAAAGGAGTGACTGTCCGCAGTAGGGACACGCAGGGCCCTAGCACCCTGCTTCAGCTTGCAGCTGCATTCCACAGCAACTTCTCGACCTCCACAACGTCCGGGCCCTGGGTCTCCCAGCCAGCCCTCACTCTGGTAAGTTCTGCTTCGGTGGGTAATTCTCCTGCCCCTCCTCATACCTTTCCAGGCCCCGCTACCCCCACCTCAGACTCTGCTTTCCCCCGCTAGCCCCCCCTCAGTCCCAGCCCCCAGCCCCATACAAACAATGCCTCTCAGTAGCAGCCTCCCCACCCACTCCAGCACCCAAGGGTGCGTAGGCCTGAGTCATAGAATATCAGGGTTCGAAGGGACCTCAGGAGGTCATCTAGTCCAACCCCCTGCTCAAAACAGGACCAATCCCCAGACAGATTTTTACCCCAGTTCCCTAAATGGCCCCCTCAAGGATTGAACTCACAACCCTGGCTTTAGCAGGCCAATGCTCAAACCACTGAGCTATCTTCTCTGCCTTCCTTGGGCCTGGTAAGCCTGCTTTTCTGGGTGGTTCCCTTTCCTATAATGCCACTGCAAAGCCCTGTGCTGGCTGCCAGGCTCCCCCAGGCTCACTCACTACAGCTAGCGCACCTCAAACCTCCATCTTAACCCCTGAAATCGCTGCACCTGGATGTTCAAACCTCAGCCCAGGAAACAAACCGGCCACTGTACTTTTGCCTGGGGAAGGGGGAAGAATCTTTCAGATGCGATGTAAACTGGGGCCCTGTTTTTATATACATGCTAGTTAAGCCCCCGTTACAAGACTCACCACCTGAGAG